AGAGTCAACAACTATTGACAATTTTGCCTTGTATGTCTTTTATTGAACCATTTCAAAGGAAACAACAAATATCATGACACTTTGGGTATGAATGGCCAAAAGCATTACTGTGGCTCTTAAAAATCAAAAGCAACATATGGTCACTGTAAAGATATTATTAGAAAATTTAGATACATATGAAACCATGTTTTCAAAAAAAATACAATCAGAAAAAAAGTAAAATCCCCGCCAGAACCCTACCACCCAGAAATAACCCACACTGATGTGGTATCACAATCCCTTTTTGTCCTTTACTTGGCACATTTTATCATGATAGCTCTCCAAAGTAGTCAACTTGAAAGAATTACAGTGAACACCTGTAAACCCACCATCTAGGTCCTCCCAGTGTTAACATTCTGCTATATTTACTTTGTAGCTGTCCTTTTATTCATCTATCAATCCATTTGATTTTTAATGCATTTCAAAATCAGTTACAACTAGACACCCTCAAGGGTTTGCCATGCAAATTATGAACTAGAATTCAATATTTGCCTAAGACCCCACTTCATCTTTTTAAAAATTTATTTATTGGAGGCTGATGCTGTGGCATAGTTGGTTAGGCCTCCGCCTGTGGTGCCAGCATCCCATTATGGGTGCTTGTTCGAGTCCCGGCTGCTCCACTTCCAATCCAGCTGCTTGATAATGCACCTGGGAAAATAGCAGAAGATGGCCCAAATGCTTGGGCCCCTGCACCAACGTAGGAGACCCAGAAAAAGCTCCTGGCTCCTGGCATCTGTCTGGCCAAGCCCTGGCCAGTGCGTCCATGTTGGGAGTGAACAAGAAGGTGGAAGATTTCTCTTTCTCTGTCTCTCTCTCTCTAAACAAATCTAAAAAAGATTTATTTGAGAGGCAGAGAGAGAGAGAGATGTCTTAGGGTGTAGCGCACATCCCATATCAGAGTGCCAGTTCAAGTCCCAGCTGCTGCACTCCTAATTCAACTTCCTGTTCGTGTACCCTAGAAGGCAGCTGATGATGGCCCAAGTACTTGGGTCCATGTCACCATGTGACAGGACCTAGATGGAGTTCTGGGCTCCTGGGAGTGAACCAGCAGATAGAAGAGCTCGCTTGCTTGCTCGCTCGCTCTCCCTCCCTCCCTTCCTCCCTCTATCACTCTACCTTTCAAATAGATAAGTCTTTAAAAAAAATTTAGGGCTCAGCATTGTAGTGCTGTAGGTTAGGCAGCCACTTATGATGCCAGAATCCAATATCAGAGTGCCAGTTGATATCCTGGCTACTCCACTTGTGATCCAGGTCCCTGCTAACGTGCCTGAGAAGGCAGCAGAAAATCACCCAGCTGCTTGGGACCCCTGTACCCACGTGGGAGACCCAGATGGAATTTCTGGCTCTTGGCTTCAATCTGGACCAGCCCTGACCATTGTGGTCATTTGGGGAGTGAACCAGCAGATGGAAGTCCTCTCTCTCTCTGTGTCTCTCCCTCCTTCTCTGTCACTCTGCATTTCAAATAACTAAATAAATCTTCAAAAACATTTCAAGACAGAGGGATATATCTTCTATTTGCAGATTCACTCCTCAAATGGCCACAACAGCTAGGGCTGGTCCAGGCCAAAGCCAGGAGCCAGGAACACCATCCGTATCTCCTGTGTGGGTGACAGGGACTCAAGCACTCGAGCCATCGTGTGCTGCTTCCCAGGTGCATTAGCAGAGAGGGAGCTGGGACTCCGATACTCTGATATAAGATGCTGGCATCCCAAGCAGAGGCTTAACCTACTACACCACAATGCCCATTCTCCTCCTTTTTCTTGAGGCAACATTTTCATACTGTAAAATGTGACGATCTTAAGTGTACCATGGATGAGCTTTGTGAAATGTGAACACTCATGTCACATATGAGAGGTCTTTAAAAAAATTCATGGGAAAACGCATGCTATGGAAAACCATACGTGGATTTCAAAAAATGTTACACCAAAATAAACATCTTTTTTGCTATTTACTTATTTTTTGTTTGACAAGTTCCCAACTGCTGGCTCACTCCCCACATGCCCACAACAGCCTGGGCTGGACTGAGCTTGCTGGGAACCAGGAACTCAATCCAGGTCTCCCATGTGATGGCACAGACCCAAGTACTTGAGCCATCACCTGCGGACTCAGGGTGTTCACCAGAAGGAAGCTGGAATCAGGAGTGGAACTGGGACTTGAACCCAGGCACTCTAATGCAAGCATTCCAGTGTCCTTTTTTAAAGGTTTTTAATGTATTTATTTGAAAGAGTGATAGAGAGGGAAAGAGAGAGATCTTCCATCTACCATTTCACTGTCCAAATGGCCGCAATGGCCAAGGCTGGGCCAGGCCAAAGCCAGGAGCTTCATTCGGGTGTCCCACATGGGTGGCAGGGGCCTGAACACTTGGACCATCCTCTGCTGCTTTTCCCAGGCCTTTAGCAGGGGAGCTGGATTGGAAGTGGAGCAGCTAGGACTCGAACTGGCACCTGTATGGAATGCTGGCATTACCCTCTATGCCACAACAGCTCCTCCAACCAGTTTCCTAACTGCTAGGCTGAATGCCTACCTTAGCCTAAACTTATCTTTAAACTCCATTTTCCATGAACTTTTAGAAGTACCTTCATATATATTTTTCAAACAATAATGGGATAGTACATGTATCTTATATATGTCCTTTTCACTTAGCACACCATAAACATCTTATTAGATAATGAATGTTCTCTTGTAGTAGTTATACACTACCTTTTTTGATTTTTACCTGACCCCCTATTGTTGGACACAAGCTGCTTCCAAATTTTCACTATAATAAAAAGCATTGCAGTGGGCATTCTGGTAGCTAAATATTGACTCACGTCCTTAATTTTTCATGAAGTGGTTCTACAACTGTAGTCAAACTTTTCATAGTAGAAAAATACTTTTGACATCTGGAGTGTGGATGCGGAAGCCAATTAGAAGAGCCCAAATGGGAGGCCACAGGGAGGCTGGGTCCTATTCCTAGTGAGCCATTAAAGGGAGCTGCACCAGGCCAGAGGTCTTGGGGGCAGCAGGGCAGACCAGAGGGGCAGGAAAGACAGACAATAGGAACGGGAACTCACACTGATTAAGCCCTGATTAGCGCTGCAAACGCCGCCGTACTGGGCACTTGACACGGCTCCTCAGTTGCTGTTCCTCACAGCTCAGAGAGTGATAATCATCATCTTCGTGTACAGATGAGAAAACAATGGTAAACTGCACTCTCTCAAGCTTGACCTCCTCCAGTTACGGAAATGCTGCTTTCTTGTGCGTTCCATACACATTCATCATATACACGCTCTACCTGAGGCTAGGACCCCCTTGAGGAAAACTTCCTCCAAAGCCTCCACCCCTCTGGGCACCTGGATCCTGTTTTCACCTTGTTACAGCACCTCGTCATCTGCTAGACCACATGCTCCTCGAGGGCAGGGTCTTCTCTGAGGTCCAAGTTCCTGTAAGCACAGGGGCTGGCAATTACAGGTTAAATAACTTGCCCACAAAAGTAACAAGCGAAGCAGCAGAGGGTCAAACCCTCTGAACCCCAAACACTGCAATTGCTTTGTGTTAGTCTGCCTAACCCATACCTTTCTTTTTCCTTCCCCTGTCCCCCTCTCCCCCGCCCAAGGACTGAGGAGGAGAAGAAAGACTGGGTCCAGGTAACATCCAGGAAGGCTTTGTGGGTAGGGGCTGGAGGCAGGGGGGCTCTGCTTTAAAAGTCACAGAGACCAGAATGGGCCTGGGCACCGGCCCTCCAAACTGCCATGCCCGTTTTACAAATAAGCACACGGAGATCCAGACACTAAGCAGAACTCAGATGCTTCTCTTCGAAAGCTGGTTCTTCTCAGGTTACATAACCCCCCTGAGAGTCAAGCCCTGTAAAACCTTAGGTCTAAGCAACAGGCAAGAAGGCCACCTGAGGATTTCAGCCATGCTCCTCTCTCATCTTACAATTGTTAAGACTGTGCCCTGCATTTGGGAAGGAACTTGCTCAAGGTCACGTGCCCCACAGGAGCAAAGCTGGGCTAGAACCCAACTTCTCTTGACTCCAGGCTAGGGCATAGGAAGGTGAGGGGAGGGTGGAAATGGGCGGCTTTGTAGGATGATGTGACCTCTCCTGACACCTCCTCTCCAGGCCATCAACTCCACCCTCCTGAAGCACGAACAGACGCTGGAGACCTTCAAACTATTGAACTCGACCAACAGGGAAGATGAAGACACTCCACCCAACTCTCCAGTAAGAGCCCCCACTCTTCTCCCTGCACCAGCCTTCCGGTTTTCCCTTCAATCCTAAGATGACCCAGGCCTTGGGGAACAGGCAAGGGCTGGCTGGACTGGGCTGCGGAGTAGCTGTCTCTGACCCGGGACCTGGCCCTCCCCCTAGAACGTGGATCTTGGGAAGAGGGCACCCACGCCCATCCGGGAAAAAGAAGTCACCATGTGCATGCGCTGCCAGGAACCCTTCAATTCCATCACCAAACGCAGGCACCACTGCAAGGCCTGTGGGCATGTGAGTGTTGGGAGGCAGGGGCACAGCTGGAGGGACAGGCTGACAGCCTAAAGGCCCGCTTCTGAGTGGGTACCCTCCAAGTAGGGGGAGGTGACAAGTCGGTTGTGGGAGTTGGTACACCAAAGGGGAAGGCCTGCTGGAATCAGGCTCTTCTTGCCCACTTGCCACCCAGGTGGTTTGTGGGAAGTGTTCCGAGTTCCGGGCCCGCCTCATCTATGACAACAACCGCTCCAACCGTGTGTGCACGGACTGCTACGTGGCCTTGCACGGGGTGCCCGGGAGCAGCCCAGCTTGCAGCCAGCATACACCCCAGCGCCGGAGGTCCATCCTGGAGGTAGGCCCCAACTAACCCCCACAGTGGCCCAGGGGACCCCAGCAGCCTACCCAGTGTGATGGAAGAGGCCCGGATGTCTTTGAAACCGTAGGGGACTATGTACACCTGCTGATCAAGCGGCCCAGGCTAGCAGCGTGTGAGTAAAAGGAGTGAACGAAAGCCATTTTTATTGAAGAACTTCACACATTTAATCCTCAGAGTATGTGCCCATACTGTTATCATCCCTGTTTTACAAATGAGGAAACCAAGGATCATAGCACTCATTTGTCCAACGAATGGCAGAGCTGGGACTTTTTAAATGAACAAATTGCCTTTTCTTATCACCAAGTAGCATAAGACAATATAAACAATAAAAAAAAACCACCATATTCCTTCTACCCCAAGTTAGCACTGTTAACGCTCATCTTTCTAGGCGTGCACACATACATATTTTTCAGTTAGTTATTTTAACCAATGGAGGTATTTAACAGTTAAAGAACACTTCTGTGCCAGGAGTAGTCTAAATGCTTTGCATATACTAACTCATTTCATCCTAACAGCGCTCAGTGCTCTCCTTCCAAGTCAATACATTCCCATCTAGAGCTGGGATTTCCCAGCCCAACTGCATTAACCACTCACCGGCACCCCCTGAGCCACAGTGCTGGAGCTGGAGTGTAGGGAGCAGATGTACTATGAAAAGATGAGAGAAGAGTGAGGCCTAAGTGTGCGAATGACTTGAGGAATAAACTGAAGAAAGAATGCCCACTTAGCATTTCAAGGGCCCCACCTAAGATCGGTAACACCCCTTCCACTGGCTCTTAGAGCCAGCAGCCCTGTCCACAGCAGGCAGACAAGTCTGGCTTGGAATCTCCTCCACTCTACATGACTGGGTGACACTGGGCAAATCGCTCCTGCCACCTGAGCTGCAGCATCTTCATCTGAGACAGGGAAATGGCGATCTCTACATTAGGAGGGTGGGGTGGGGTGGGGTGGGTTAAAGGCCAAGGGGAGCCAGGCAGGGCCTTCTGTCAACACTGATGCTCCACATGTGTCTCCGGCCACAGAAACAGGCCTCAGTGGCGGCGGAGAACAGCGTCATCTGCAGCTTCCTGCACTACATGGAGAAGGGTGGGAAAGGATGGCACAAGGCATGGTTCGTGGTCCCTGAGAATGAACCCTTGGTGCTGTACATCTATGGAGCCCCTCAGGTATGCATCCTGTCCCTTCCAGTCCTTGGCCACAAGTGATAAGGTGAGCCTCGCTTTTAGCTGAGGAAACCAGAACCACCAACCATACGAGGCAAAGACTGACTGGAGACAAGGGGTGATCGTGGGCCAAGGATGGAGAGAAATGGGGGTGAGTTCGGGCGAGGGGGTGGCTTTTGAGAGGAAACAAGAGTTAGTTCTGGTTCGGGGGAGGCAAGAGCATGCAGAGAGGGGACAAAGGCCTGGAACCACTGTTTGGTATGCTCGAGACTAGGCCCAGCTGATTCTGGGTGTGGGAGGAGACAGGGATTTATTTGCACTGGCCTGCCTTCTAACCCCAGTTCAGACACCTTCCTGTTGGTAACCGTGGAGCCGTGGAAGGTTCTTGAGCAGGGGAAGGAAAACAGGGAGGCAGATGCAAAACCAGAGAGAAGCTGGGGCCAAGGGGAAGGAGCAGCCCCGCGGTGACGCCAGCTCCATTCCTCTTCTCCAGGATGTGAAAGCCCAGCGCAGCCTGCCCCTCATTGGCTTTGAGGTGGGGCCTCCCGAGGCAGGGGAGAGGCCTGACCGAAGGCACGTCTTTAAAATCACCCAGAGCCACCTGAGCTGGTACTTCAGTCCTGAGACAGAGGAGCTACAGCGGCGCTGGATGGCCGTGCTTGGCCGGGCTGGCCGTGGGGACACGTTCTGCCCAGGGCCCACACTGTCTGAGGACAGGGAAACAGAGGAGGCACCAGTGGCGGCGTCAGGAGCCACTGCTGAACCCCTCGAAGCCCCCCAGCCCCGAGACAAGACCTAGAGGGTTCGGGGGTGCCCCACACTCTAGCTGCCCATATCCGATTGGGGAGCTCCAGCCCCTCCCTCCCAGCTCAGTCAATACTTGAACTCCCATCACGGGCACTTTCAATCCCGAATGCTGGGTTTTGGGTTTTTTTAATTCATCTTTTCACAAATTGTGGGCTTTTAAAAAGATATTCCTACAGTGATGTTCATTTTTTTTAATCCCTGTCCCCAGGGAGGGTGGGAGCTGTTGCCAGACCTCGCCTGAATCGGGCCATTGAGTCTCCCATCTCCAACACCTTACAGATCCTGCCTCCACCTAATCCCCCCACCTCCAAAGCACCAGGGGGCAGGAGACCTGGATTCCAGTGCCAGCCCTGCCACCGACCCAGCCCTGCCTCCTCAGCCAGTGTTTCCACGTGAGGTGGTGACTAGACCCCCTCTCACCTCTCCCATGGCTTCAGCTTCCTGGCCTCAAGGCTACCCAGTATTTTATCGTCCAGACCCATGGCGGGGCCACCGGGCAGGACAGGGGAAGGGGGGTGGGGGGAGGACAACGGATACTCTTTGTTTTGTTTTGTTTTTTAAAGAAAAATACAGTTTATTTCAGGCTTACAGTAACTCCCAGAGCACTGCTCTGCTGCACTCATCTGTCTGTCTGTCTGTCGAAAGTACCAGGCTACTAGGGTGGGCCCAGAAACCACTCCCTTGTGGACTCTGAGGTTCGGCTCCCAGAAGGCTGCTTCCAAGGTTACTCACAGGTCAAGCCACGGATTAAACAATAAGCTAGCATTTATTAAGGTCTTAGGCCTCATCCCTGGACTTAAATGGGATGGGATAGAGTCAGGAAAGAGGTTAGAGGAGGCAGAAAACAAAGCCCCAGTCTCCCAAGCTCACCACCTAGCCAAGCTCTTGGAATTCCCAGGGTGGGAGGCCAGCTGCACAAAAGGAGCATTCCTGGGAGGTTCCAGGTTCTGGGCAGAGATTCAGAGCTGCTGTGGGCAGGGTGGGGAAGGCGAGGGGAGCGCACCGCAGCTACTTGTAGTTCCCACGTTCAACTTCCTTCCATTTGCATGTTCACCGCACCACTCCTGACCCAGCCAGGCCCCTAGTGCCAACTACCAGTTCTCCTTCTGGGCCTCTCCCTTCACAAATCCACCTGCCCGCTGGCAAGCTCAAGCTCCTCCTCCAGCCACACAATACTCACTCATGTCCACTTCATAATGCCGTCCGTCACCCAAGAGGCACTCTGCCGGGAAACGGGCCTCAAGACTCACATGGTAACTTAAAGCCTGAGAGGCTGTGGTAGACTGGGTCCTACCACCCCCAGGACCAAAGACTCTAGGGGCTTTCCTTAACGTGGAGGAAACTGGACAGGGGAGTGAAGGAGAGGGTGGGAAAAGGGTAGCCAGTCCAGCGGTCTACAACCCTCCACAAACCCCCCTACAAGTAAGTCTCAAAACACCTAGCAAACCAAGGGCCCAAACCACTTTCAGCCCTACTCATTTCTTTCTCCGGACAATGGTCCAGCCATCTTCCACTATATCCTCTTCCTTAATAGTCTGGGAGTTGGGATCAGAGGGCTCAGGCTGGGGGCGGACCCCATCTGTAGCAGCTCCATCATTCATAGCCGTGACCTGGTGGAAAAGTACAAGACAGCACTGAATCCACTGGCCACTGGCAACCCATGCTCTGCTCCCAGCTTCTGCAGGACTGCTTGCTGCAGTGACCTTAGTAAAGTTCCCCTCCCTCTCCACACCACATTGCCCGCCCCAACTCATCACTTCTCTTGTCCATCTGGCTGCTTTCCCAGAAAATTGAAAACATTTGTACCCCACCCACCCAAGAGGCACCCTTGTCACCTCCATCTCTTCCACGCTGTCCGCATCCACCTCATCCTCATCAGTTTCTTTGGCTGTCATAACAGCTGTGGCTGTGACCTTGCACTTTTTTTGAGTGATGTGGGAGGCCATCTCCCTTAAAGCAGCCCCATCACCCCTCTGGAAGTGGCCGAACATGGTCTGTAGCTGCTGGCTCACCTGGCAAGAAAACATTCAACCAGCTTGCATTTTCCAGACAGTCTTCTATAGCGCCAACCAGTGTCTGCAGCAAGGGTGGGAAAGGGGCTGGAATTTTCCAGAAAAGAATGGAGCATGCTCTCCCCCAAACAGTTCACCAATGAAGCAACCACATTATGAGGAGCTCAGGTGAAGACTTGGAAGCACTGAGGGAGGGCCTCCAGCTGGGAAGGCACTAGAACTGGGCTTTGAAAAACCACAGATGCAAAAAGGGAAAGCAGTCTCATCATGGGGAACCGTGCTAACCAAGACAGAGGTGGACTGACCTCCCGTGGGGTGGGATTGAGGAATAAGCCTGGCGGAGAATGACACACGGAGAGAAATAAAAGAACACAGAGACAAGAGAGTCTCGGTTAGAAGAGTTTTGTGCACCACCCAGGAGAATGGTTGGAGTCAGGAGTATGGACCCAAAACAGGCAGGGACATGGCAAGTTGTGACCACGATAAACTCACCTGGGGCAGACTCCCATCCTCCACAACCGTATCAAACTCGTTGGTCATCAGCTCCCCAAGGAAGTCTTCCACCTCCTCTTGCTCCAAGTCAGCTGAGTAGGAAAGGAGAGAACCTTCTGGTCAACAACCAGCCAACTTCATCACCCCTGCCCACTACTGTTCAATACCTACTTGGTGGCTCCACATCTGGTTGGTGGGTAAAGGCCCAAGCAGTGAGCCTTTTATTTGCTAAAATGCTCTGCATGCCAGGTTTTAACATGACTTTTAAAAAGTCTCTGAATATTAATATCTAATTTTCAAGCCCCTGCAGCCTTATTCCTAGCCTCTTTCATCTGGCCTATTCTGAAGCACCTCCCCTCTATGAAACCTTAAGCAAGCTACTTCTTCCTCTCTGAGCCTCAGTTTTCTCATCCGTAAGGTGGGTCTAATAGTGGTCTCCTCAAAGGTCTGTTATGAGGAGTCATCCAATGCAATGCCTGGTGCAGGGGAAATCCATGAACCAGGTTAATTTCCATGACTCAAGGCCTAAAGGTTTTTAAGTGTAGAGACCCTTCACAACTGTGACTCCACTGACATGGAAGGCCACAGACTAATCGGAAAGGTAAGAAGAAAATGGATGTGACATCTCCAATGATGCATCTGTCACAGTCTCGACACCAACATCCTACTGTGTGACTTGAGCCCTCTCTGGGCTCCAGGAATCTTATGGGCCCCTACTCTAATTTGCTGAATTAGACAGTGACTCAAGTCCTGCACAAAACTCCTCACACCCTCCTTCCCCCAGATGCTCCCCCTGCGAGAGCTCATCCTCTCCCTTGGTTTCCTCCACCACTCAAACCTAACAGTCCCCATGTCTCTAACTCAGACTCCTCTGTGCCTAGATGTTTCACCGGGGCCTCTAGTCTGCCATACCCAAAGCCAGGCTCATCACATTCCACTCCAAGCACCTGCTTCTCATCCTCTTGGGTTCCTTTATTCCAAGAAAGGCACTTAATCCACCCAGCTGAGGGAACTCGAACCCCAAATCGGCCTCTTTTTCCCTTCCCCTCTACAGCCAAGCAATCTCCCAGGCCTTTAATCTTCTTTCCCATGGCTATGGCCACCGCCCTGCTTCAGGCCTCACCATTTTCTAGACCTTTACAGCCCTCTCATCGGGTCTTTCCCTCTCCAGGCTGGGCCCCATACTGCTTACTTTCTGAACTCTCTAGTCAGCAAATCCCATCCTATTACTCACCTTAGAACCTACCCATGAATTTTTATCACCGACTGCAGTGTTTCATAGTTTGCCTTTGAGAAATATCTGTTCTGCTGGGTTTTAAGGGAAGCTATCCATAGAAAGCTAATGGGAAACAAAGGTAAATAGGTTTCTTTTTAGTGGTTCTTATCCTTAGCCAAGCCTATAATATGTTAATGAGTGTCGGGACTCAAGCAGGAACTGAAGAAAAGAGCTTTTCTTACAGAATTTGACTGGAGAAGCTTTTTCTTCACTAAACATCTAACTGGGATGAGTCTTCCTTAGCATGCATTTTGGAAACACTGGCCTAAAGGATAAAATCAAAGGCACACAGAGCCTTCCAGGTCCTGCCCCCGCCCCCAGTTTCATTCTAGAGCATTCCTCCACCCCACCCCACCCCACCCCACACACGTGCAAACACCCTTGCTACAACACTGAGTTCCCTGCCACGTTCCAAATATAACTCATTATCGCCTCAAACCACAGAACTATGAGTGTTGTTCTTTCTGCCTCCCCAATGTAGTTAACTCCTTCTCATCCCCTAACACGCAGCCCAGGGGTATGTTGTGGCACAGTGGGTTAAGCTGCTGCCTACATCGCTGGCATCCTATATGAGCACCTGTCCTGGCTGCTCCATTTCCGATCCAGCTCTCTGCTAATGTACCTGGGAAAGCAATGGAGGATGGCCCAAGTACACGGGTTCCTGCCACCCACATAGGAGACTCAAATGGAGTTCCTGGCTCCAGGCTTACAGTCGGCCCAGCCCAGGCCATTGTGGCCATCTGGGAAGTGACCCGTGGATGGAAGATATCATTCTCTTTGCAATTCTGCCTATCAAATGAATAAATAAACCTTTTCTTTTTTCTAAAGACCCAGCCCAATCACCACCTCCCTCTGAGAGGCTTTCTCCCCAGTCTCATGTTACCCCAAGTACTCTGAGCTTTTATCAAAACACCTATCATCGGGACCGGCACTATGCCATAGCGGGTTAAAGCCATCACCTGCAGTGCAGGCATCCCATATAGGCGCCAGTTCGAGTTCTGGCTGCTCCACATCCAATCCAGCTCTCTGTTATGGCCTGGGAAAGCAGATGTTTCAAGTCCTTGGGCCCCTGCCCTCCGCGTGGGAGACCAAGAAGAAACTCCTACCTCCTGGCTTCAGACTGGCACAGCTCCAGCCATTGTGGCCATTTGGGGAGTGAACCAGCAGATAGAACACCTATCTATCTCTCTGCCTCTAACTCTGCCATTCAAATAAAAGAAATAAATAAATAAAACCAAACAAACCACCTATCACCCAGGATGTAACTGTCTACCTGTCTGGATCCCTCACTAGACAGTAAACTTTCTTGAGACATGAGAATCTGCCTACTATCATTCCAAGGGCTAGAAAATGAATAAGGAATCTCCTCAAAAACCACATTCTGCAACAGGTCCTCTTTCAGACCCCTTGTTGCTCTATAACCCTTAAGATAAACCTAAGGTGCAGATGTTTGCTGTCACAATAGCCACGTGTGGTTACTGACCAAACGGAATGGCCAGACTAAGGTGTGCTAAAATTGTAAGACAGCAGATTTTGAAAACATAACGCTAGGGGTTGGCGCTGTGGCGCAGTGGGTTAAAGCCCTGGCCTGCAGTGCCAGCATCCCATATGGGCGTCAGTTCTAGTCCCGGCTGCCCCTCTTCTGATCCAGCTCTCTGCTGTGGCCTGGGATAGCAGTAGAAGATGGCCCAAGTCCTTGGGCCCCTGAGCTCCTGGCTCCTGGTGCAGCTCTGATCATTGCAGCCATTTGGGCAGGGAACCAGCAGATGGAAGACCTCTCTCGCTCGCTCTCTTTCAAATAAAACAAATCTTTTTTTTAAAAAAAAAAAGAAAAGAAAACATAACGCTAAAAAAGATGTAAAATGTTTTAATGATATTTTATGCTGAGACACATTGAAATATTCTGGATATATTGAGTTGGGTGACATTATTAATTCAGCCTGCTTCTTTAAAGTAGCTGCTAAAAAACTTGAAACTACAAAATGTGACTGGCAATGGCCAGTGCCAGGGTGGATACATTTGTAACCACATACCCGTTTGAAGAGCTAGGAAACTCAGATTCAGGGAGGTAAAACGCCTTGTCCAAAGCACAGCCCCCAAGGCATTCGTCCGCAAGATTCCGAGTTCAAAGTCAGGGTTTATTCCACCTTGGCTTCATATATCACCACCAGCTGCTCTAGAGGAAGCGCAGGCCCACCAGGGCTGGCTTCCTCCCCTCCACGTCCCCCACACGGGCCGCCAGCGCCTCGTGTTCACTCACCATTGCGGATGAAGTAATCTTCCACTGCCCCCTCCAGCCACTCGGCCTTCTCCTGGCTGTGCACGCCCCCGAAGCCATTCTCCACCGCGATCTGCGAACACAGGCCCGAGCCCACCACGTCAGCCCATGAGCCAGTCCCCGGCATGGCCAGGGGCCCGCCGCTCACGATACCCACACAAACCTCAGGCGCCTCGCTCGGCCAAGTCCTGTTCTGCCGCGAGCCCTAACCGTGATCCCGCCGTGGCCCCCACTCACCTGCAAGGCAGGCCAAGCCTCCAGTGCGGCACGGACGCCGGCCCTGAAGAGCGCTCGCGCATCTTCCCCAGCGCCCGCCATCGTCAAGTCTGAACCACGTGACGCCCAAGCGTCCCAACCCCTTGGCGGCTCAGCCCAGGCAGAATGAGCCGAAAGCCGAGACTGAGAACAGATCTTCGCTTTTCCGCTGAGCTGGCAGCAAGACTAGAGCAATAGAAAATCCTGTCGGAGTGATTGATGACAGCAGCATCGTTACTCAATGGACCTGGACGACCTGTGGTACTGCGGGTTCGGGATCAGATAAAATGTGCGGAAGTTAGTACCGATATAGATTGCAGGCCCTCGGACAGAACGCTCAGAGAGCATATCCTAAAAAATCTGGATTTATGTCTAGAGCACTGCGACCAACACCAACAGAATAGGTATTTTTCTGAAGTGCACTAGAGCGATCTCCAGGAGAGACCAATATGCAAGGCCACAAAGCAGGCCTAGAGAGATTTAGGATTGAAATAATACAACCACAATGGAGTGAAATTACAAACCAATAACAGATTAAGCCTTTAGTATAATATAAAGTATATTAGCTCAAAAAAAAAGATTTTTTGTTGGAAAATAACAAAAAAAATCAATAACAGAAAAAACCTTGTGAACTTCATAAACTTGGAAATTAACAAACTCCTAAATAATGAATGGGTCAGAGCTGGCACTGTATGGCTATAGCTCCCACCTTGCAGGTAGGGGTTTTACCCGCTATGCCATAACCCCAGCCACAGTAAATAATTTTTAAAAAAGAGAGTAAAATAATGTTAAGGCAAACACGAAGAAAGAGATAATAGAGGTTAGTGCAGAAATAAATGAAATAAAGAGCAAACAGTAGGGGCCGGTGCAGTGGCATAGTGGGTAAAGCTGCCGCCTGCACTGGCAGCACTGCATGTGGACACCGGTTGAGTCCCAGCTGCTCCTCTTCCAATCCAGCTCTCTGCTGTGGCCTGGGAAAGCAGTAGAAGATGGTCCAAGTCCTTGGGCCCCTGCACCTGCTTGGGAGACCCAGAAGAAGCTCCTGGCTCCTGGCTTCAGATCAGCACAGCTCCAGCCATTGCAGCCAATTGGGGAGTGAACCAGTGGATGAAAGACCTCTCTCTCTCTGCCTCTCCTTCTCTCTCTGTGTAACTCTGACTTTCACATAAATAAATAAATCTTTTTTTTAAGAAAAAAAAAAAGAGCAAACGATAGAGAAAATCTGTGAGGCCAGAAGTCAGGTATTTGAAAGATCAACAAAATTTACAAACCTTTAGCTAGATTGGCTAAGAAAATAAGGAAGAAGATTCAAATTACTGAAATCAAAAATGAAAGAGGGGATATCATTGCTGATCAGCAAAAAATACAAATACTGTATTTTTGTATACCATTTATATGAAATGTGTAGAACAGTAAAAAAAAAATACAAAATAGATGAATGGTTATACAGGGTTTGTAGGAGGGAGAGGAATGGTGCATGTCTCCTAACAGGTCCAAGGTTTTTTTGGGGAGTGATGAAGATGTTCTAAAATCAGATGTGGTAGTGGTTGCTGTTATGGGCTAAATTGTGTCCACCACCACCACCACCCACATTCAAGTTTGAAGTCCTAGCCCCAGTACCTCAGAATGTGACTGTATCTAGGGCCTTTAAAGAAGAGATTATGGTAAAATGAGGTCATGTGGCTGGGCCTATTACAAGATGACTGATGTCCCTAGAAAGAAGCGATTAGGACACAGGGATACCAGACAGGTGTATGCAGAGATGACCAGGTGAGCACACAGAAAAAAGGCTAAGGGGAAAGCCAAGGAAAAAAATCAGAAGAAACCAAACCTGCTAACACCGTAATCACAGACCTGTAGCCTCCACAATGTGACAAAAAAATTTTTTGTTGTTTATGTCACCATGTCTGTGGTATTTTGTTATGGTAGCCCTAGCAAACTAATAATTAATTCTGCAAATAGAGTAAAAATCATTAAACTGGATACTTCAATAGTTTTGCTTATAGTACATAAATAATGTTTCAATAAAGCTGTTTTTATAAATGTAGAGTAGTAGGTACTTTCCTCACACTGCAAAGGTTGCAAACTTTTGACTGGACTATGCTAATAAACACTACTGACATTCGTGGACCTGGCTCAATGCTAAATAGTGCTGAGTCAAGGAGTTTGGGTCAGTTGCTCAAGGATCTCACAGTCTGGCATGCAAGACTGTCCAAGGACCATTGAGTACCATCACTGCCTAAAGAGAATCTAGGGTCTGAGCAGAAACAATTTTGCAAGCCCTCTTTAGTGGGGCCAGCAATGTGGTGCATCAGGTTAAGCTACTGCTGCTATCCCATATTGGAGTGCTAGCTCGAGTCCCAGGTGCTCAGGCTTCTAATCCAGTGCCCTGTTAATGCTCCTGGGAAGGCAGCAGAAGATGGCCCAAATGCATTGGCTCCTGCCACCCGTGTGGGAGACCCAGATGCTGTTCCTGGCTCCTGACTGGCCTGGCCCAGGGGGCTATTGTGGTCATTTGGGAAGTGAACCAATGGATGAAAGCTCTCTCTCTCTCTTTTCCTCTCTCTCTCTCTCTCTCTCAATCTCTGTCACTCTGTCTTTCAAATAAATCTTTTTTTAAAAAAAATGGCTTTTAGCAGCCAGTGCTGTGCCATAGTAGGTTAAGTGGCCATCTGCAGTGCCAGCATCCCATATGGGCATCAGTTCGTGTCCTGGCTGCTCCATTCCTAATCCAGCTCCCTGCTAATGCA